GCTATTGAGAGCTGCTGGAGCTTTGTGGAGGTAGAGGATGGGCTGGGTTTTCTTCATTATTGATGTAGAACACCTAGAGTTATTCTAGGTTGGAATAAGCAGAGTCCATGGCTTCTATCATAGATGTTAATGAATCATTTACTCTTGCTACTATCATTTCAGATTCCAAAATTAACAACTATAGATGTTGCCCATAATGAGTCTGGGGATATGAATCTATTTTCCAAATTACAATGACTTTCTCTTTGAAAGGATGTTGAGTATCAAATCAGACAGCAGAGGCAATAGACCAGGAAAATCTTGAGATGAATATTTTAGCAGTTCATTAAAATTAGATCTCAGGGCTATTCAGTTTGTGTCATGTGGCACTGGCAGATGGTGTTCCTCTTTTACTCAACAGGTAACAGGTGAGTAATGGAAATACTTTTCTGTAAGACTGGCATTACTAGCCATATGATAGGGAAGTTAGGAAGGAGATGACCGACCACAATAGTTTTCTACAATCACCTTTCATGTGAACATTTCTCAAATTTCACTTTCGTAAATGATTCTTTGCTTCCAAATCTTGTATAGGGCTTTTAGTGTTCTGAAGGTGATAATACACAATTTTCCAGAAATTACGAGACTGTGACAACTTAAGCTACTAGATGAATGACTAAAATTGGACTTAAATAGCTGTTTTAATTGACAAGATTATACCTGAAGTGAATAGAGTCAGTGCTCCATATCTGTGAGTTCCACTCACATGGACTAAACCAAACACACACTGAAAATATTTTAAAAAATTGCATCTGTACCAAACAGGTTAAGTTTTATTTTTTCTTCTCATGATTACTACATTATCTACTATTTACAGAGTATTTGCATGGTATTAGGTGCCATAAGTAAGCAAGAAAGATGACTAGATGTAAAGTATAGGGGAATGTGTGTATAGCTCTACTTCATGGAAGGGACTTGAGCATGTGTAGATTTTGATATCCACAGGAATCCCGGAACCAATCACCCTCAGACACTTAGGAATGACTACACTAAAATGATAAATTCTATTTGCATTTATTGGAAAAAAAATGATTTTTAAAGATTTCCCTAACTTTAGGACATGAAGTAACCCTGAGGCTAGCTGAATACAGACTCAGATCTTGTGTAGTGCCATCTCCAATTTTGATAGCTTCTTGGGCTATCAAAAAAAAAAAAAAAACAGACATATCTATCTCCTAAACTACATCCTCATACTTGGACCTTAGTATTTTCCGTCTTCTTCTGTCCAGTTTTGCACATGGTAGCTTCCTAATAAATACTATTGCTTTATTGATTTTACTTCATAATATTAGATACTAATATTATAAATGGTTTTAATCTCTATAATATGAGAGTTTCTGTAAAATAATACATATTAGAAGTTTATGATTTAAAAACAAATGTTTGGGCTGTGGATATAGATCAATGATGGAGCACTTGCCTAGCAAGTAGGAGGACCTGGGTTCAAAACATACACACACACACACACACACACACACACACACACACACACACACACCAGTGTTCTAAAGATAGAATTTATGGTTCTTATGATTAGCCTAAAAAACTACACAGTTGTTTGTTTATAAATGTACTGAGTGATGGATACATGATAAAAATAAAAATTCACTACTGACTTAAAAATCAGTTAAGAAATGTTTGCACAATGATTGACAAAAAAAAAATTTTCAAACAGATGTAGAGTCTATCTACACTCCAATACCTAGCAAATTAGTCTGATGTGTTTCTGGATTTCTTGGTTTGATTTTACATTTGACAATTTTAACTGAGCTTCCTCATAAATTCAAAATAAGAGACTACCTCACAGGATCTACAGTTATTTTCTATGATCCTATGCTATAGCTGAAGACAAAGTTTGTTAGAAATCCCTATTTGTTTTCTATAATCCAATTCTAGTTATTACTTGCTGCATAGTTTTACACCACACATTATTTCCCCCTTCCATTGACTGTTTATGAACTTGCTTTGTCATATCTTAAAATAGTCCCTTTGCAACAACTGTGTAACTTTAGTGAAAAAGTAAAATATCAGCTAGTATGCACAAAGTGCACAAGGAACATCACAACAAGTGCAATTATCACAAATGAATGGTGCTGTAAAGCGTAGGTTTTTAGATGTGCAATTCAATATATGTACAAAAAATTAGGGCTTTGGATGTACCACAGTAGTAGAATGTTTGCCTATCATGTATAAGGCTCTAAGTTAGATCCCAGTACCACAAAATAGTCTCTGTGTGTGTATCAGATATATATTATCTGATTATCTACCCATCAACTATTGTGTAGTGCCAATATATATATATATATATATACACATATATATATATATATATACATATATGTATATATATATCTCCATTCTTCATAAATATGAATATAAATATATGTTTTACATATGTATGTCAATTTGAACCCTATTGAAGTAGCTATTTGTGGGTCACAAAGTAATGAAGATCATCAATTTCATGATATCCAACTTAAAAGATATATCCCCAATATATGCACACATAAACTCAAAATTTTAATGTGGGGTGTAAAGAAAAGAAGGCCAACAAATTTATAAAGTATATGGTATCCAGCTAGTAGTTCAATCAATAAAAATTAAGCTCAATGCATTTTTGTGTTTCAGATTTCCTGTGACAAATATACACAAAGCATTTTCTGAGCAGATTATTTTGTTCCTCCCTTGTATCTAAACTTTGCAAGTTCTAGCTAAATGACTTTCAAACAATTTTTTTCTATTACAGTACAACTCTTTTTCAAATGGAAATTGTGCTGCACTCTAACCTCTGAAATGGTTAGAAAAGTGGACATAATTTGATAGAAGCTGGGAGTGTGGTCTCCTGGGTAACTCTGGATGCTTTTCCGGTTTGAGCAGAAGTGGAATAGTTGATGGGTAGATAATCAAGCAGATTCAGTAGGACATCTCACTAGGATTTTTTGAATTGGACTACTGTGGTCTGTTAAAATATTCTGATATTTTACTATCAAATCCAAAATATGAATGCAAGTTTAACTGATAATTTTTAACATTAATATTATAAAGGTTCAAGTCTAGTCAAAGATTTGGATAATGGTTACTATGACTAGAAATAAAATGATGGATATCACTGCTTGCAATGTAATAAATTCTGAAGAGGTAGATAAGAGAATATATTTAATTAGCTCATTTTCTATTTATTTAAAGCTTTTTAAAATAATATTATAAGCACCCTAAGGGATAAGATCTCAATTTCTCTTTTAATTCTTTCTATTGGTTCAATTGAAATAGTTCTTCACAAATTAAAGAGATTTTCCAGATACCTTGATGTTGACCAGACACAGGGAACATATGAAGTTAATGCAGAGAGATAAAACTCTGACTTGCAAAGAAAATCTGAGAATCACTGGAATTGTAATCCTCTTTAACAAAACCCAGAGAAACAGAAATGAAGAACCTTGTTATAAACAATTAGCCCTGAGTCTATTAATGTTTGGTCTCACTCATGATTCTGAGGTAACATTAAAATTCTGCTATATTTCTTCACAAATTCAGCGGCAGTGACTAATAAAGAACTTGCAAAATTAATCTAAGCAAAATAAAATCAAATATCATGCATAAAATTATAGTCAAAATGTGATTATTAGCTGTGCAATGATCATTGAAATAAAATTCAATCCTTGATTTAAACTAAATACCCCATTTTTTAATATAAGTATCCCTACTTTATTCAATAGAAAAATAAAATAAATGAGCTTAGCCTGAGCTTGGATTTGTCTCAGAAGGCACCAAAGGGGAAAATAAATCCGATGCAGTTATAATGATAAAAACAAGCAGCATCAATTTGACATTTGGTGCTAGATGGTCATACTCAGATGCTTTGAAGTGTCGATAAAAGCATTTTATTTGATGCATGGTAAAAACTGAACTTTTCTTCAATATTGCATTTGTTAATGAACTACAATATCAATGATGTATTATCAATCTCCAAATTATTATAAAAATATGACCTGTGGGCAGCTTTAATATCCCCTAGACACATTCACATAGTTATCTCATATTTTTCTTCAAATAATTTTGTCAAGCAGAAATGATTCAGTTTTTATAGATGAGAAAAAAAGGCCTACTGAGTATAATTAATATCATCAAGTTATTGCAACTAGTTATTAGTGAAACTGGAGTTCAAATCTTGGTCCATTTGACTAAAATGTATGAATTTATTAAACCATACTAATTTTAAAACAAATATGAAAACTGAAGAAAAAAATCTTAAAAAAGACTACTACTGAACAATTATATGTTTCAGATCAAACATTTTAAAATTATGTTTGGTAGACATAATGTTAGTTTTATAGTAGGACTAAGTTCTGGTGTTCTATTGCACAGTCTGGTGACCATAATTAACAATAAAGTGCCGTGGGCTGGAGTTGTGGCTCAGCGGTAGATGCTCACCTCGCACCTGTGAGACCCTGGGTTCTATCCTCATCACCACATGAAAATAAATAAATAAAATAAAGATATTGTGTCCATGTATAACTAAAAAATTTTTAAAAAATAACAATAAAGAGCCATATATTTCAAAAGGAATTATGCATGTTCTCTGCACAAAGAAGTGATAAATCTTTAAAGATACAGATATTCTAATTTTCCTGATTTGATCATTATAATTTATACATGTATTGAAACATTACATTGTATCCCATAAATATGTATAATTATTACATGTAAATCAATATCAAAGAATAGAGTGTAAAGAAGAAAATGGAAAACTTTGATAAAATAAAATAAAATTATTTAATAACAGAAATAGAATATGATATCTGTAAATAAATATTCATGTTTGAGTCTTTATAAAGATACATATTAACTTTTGTGATCCTCTGTGTTCTTCAGCAAAAAAAAAAACAACTATGTAAACTATTATTCAAAGATTTTTAAAATTCAGTATAAAAATGATGTATTGGTAGTTTAGTTTGCATTACCTTAGATAATTTTGCTTTGGATTCAGGTTTATCTTTGATAACAAAGTCATTAATGAGACGTGATCGATCATAGATAGCATGTTCTGATTCATCCATGTAATCCTTCTCTTTTCCCAGGGCTGAAAAACAGAAAAAGTTACATGTTTATACTTCCTCTCCTTTTTCTCAATAAATATACTAATATCTTCATGTTTTCCCAAGGTTTAGGTAGGCATAATGTTCACATTATCCATCCTGATATTTACAAAAGAATAATCATATGGAAGTCTGCCTGTAATTTTATTAATGCTTCCATAGTGACTCTGTAAGAATTCAATGAAGCTGTGCTATTTAAAAGCTATTTAAGTTTTTTGAAAATAAATTTATAATCATTCAAACTATACTAGATAGATGATCTGAACTAAACTTGAAGAGATATTGGTAAGAACAGAATCGACTCATAAGCTTAAGTAAAACTGCATTAATTTTAAGAATTTGTTTTCTTAAAAGTTGGGAAGTTTTATGAATGTGAATTTTGCTGAAGGATAAAGAAGTCCATAGAAGAAAACCATGAACATTATTCCAACAAATACTTTTTTAAAAAAAGAGAGATTAGAAAGTGGAAACTATAGCTGCCAAAAAAGGAGAGGAGACATAAAAAATTATAGTTACTATTGGAATAATAAAAATGTATAAGAGGTTATCATATTAATTACAAATAAATTATATATGAGTGATCAATAAGCTATATTCAATATGAAAGAGTATACAACAAGATATCAGAATAGGAAATCTCCATAGGATCCATGATTATGACCAAGAACTTTTATACTTCACAAAATTCCTATTCTATGTGATACAAATATTACTTTAAATTTAAAAAAGATTTAGATAACTATATATTCAGCCATTTCAAATCTATCAAAATGGCTTGAATAAAATTATTTCATTGAATCTCTTGATACCTATCAAGTATTAATTTTGACCTGATGAACAAGTATATAAGGTTTTCTTAGTTCAATCAGTTGAGGATGGAGCTGTGACTCAATGGAAGAGCATTTGTCTGGCATGTAAAAGGCCCTAGGAGTTCAAGAGTTCAATCAATTGAATTATTACAAGTAAGAAAAACTTAATTTCTTTTTTAAATAATGTGAAGCTAATAGTTTGACATTAGCAGTGGTATAACTAAGATTGTGTAGGTCGTAACTTGTCTTTGGATGCAATTAATGATCAGCTATGTTAAAATGTTCTAAGTATTTAGTGATTACATCTAGACCAATTAATAATACCTAACATTGATAATACTTGCTAAGTACATATTAAGAAGCATAAACTTTGCATGCATTATTTCCTATTAACAGTTTTATGAAGTGTGCATAATTCAACCTACATTTAATAAGTAAACTAAGGCACAAAGAACATAAATGATATACAAATTCATTAAGATAGTAAGAGTGTATCTAAAACTGAAACACATCTGGCTAAGACTTCTAAGTTGATGTTTGTCAATATAGCATAATGTTTCTCTTAAATTTAGGTAATCAATAATTCATTTGTTCAACAATTATTTTTTTAAATATCAATGATATGCAAAACTCTTAAAAAGTAGCAAACAAAACCCTGACTTAATAGAACATTCAAGTAAGAGAAGAACAATTTTTAAAAAAAATTAAGTAAAATATTAAATATGATTTGTGATCAGAGATTAGAGAAAAATCACAGTAAGTAGAAAGGATGCAAGTGTTTAAGGCAGTGGGAGGATGCTATTTTATTAAAGAGACTAGTAATAATATATGAGCTTAGATCTGAAGAGGTGAAGCAGTGAGTCACATGGGTGAGCTAGAAAAATGGTCAACACACAGAAAATAAAGAAGGCAACATTTGCCATAAAGAACGAAAGGGGAAAAGAAGAGCACCATGTTTTCCAAAGTTGGGTAATGTAAATTCTGCTGTTATTATTCAGTGGGTAACCAATCTATTCACCCTTTTACTTTCATGAATTTTGAAGAAAGAAGGAATAAAATCAACCACACTATGCATGAATGAATATGCCACAATGAATCCTATCTTTGTGTATAACTACAAGGTACTAATGAACGAAGTATACATGTTAGTAAATAGAAGGCAAATCAGAAGAGCAGAGAAAGGGAAATGGAAAGAGAGAAAGAGAAGGAAATGGGGAACTATTGGGGAATAAATTGGAGCAAACCATGCTATGTGCATTCATGAATGTCCCGCTAATATGCATATGCATAATGTGCCAATCAAAACACACACAGATATACACAAAGAATTTAAATGCACTCAGCAGATACAGAATTCCCCCTCCATCCTAAGGCAGGGTATCCTAAGTCTGATTTTCCACAAGTTTGATCGAATGATCACGTATCAGTCTTCTTACAAGAAATCTTAGAGGAAGGAGTGGGGCTTCTGGACCAGAGCTATGCTTTATACTGGCTATGTTTTCACTTATGGTTTTCTTGAAAGCTGCAACAAATTCACAATTTCTAGTTTATTTCAATGCACAGCTGGAGAAAGGCAAATTCAAAATGGAGATGTACTGGGTTTGGCAAAATTGTAGAGCAGGAGAGCTATGTCTTCAGAGGCTGTATGCCTTCTCTTAGATCAGCCCTTATCTCCCTCTTTGGAGACAGCATTGTAAGGTTGGAAGATCAGGGTCAGGCATTGAAGTCATGCATATTTAGTTTGAATCTTAAAAATTTGCTAGGTATATGACCTTAACTTTTTTGGTCCATAGTTTCATTTTCAGTTAAACAGTGTTGCTAACATCCTGCTGGTAGAGCAATTATAAAAATTAAATATAAAAATGTGAAAGTACCTAGTGTATATACATAATAACAATCAATAAGTATTAGCTTCCTCTGTTTCATAGTCTTTCCAATAAACTGAAAATTTATATTTCTCAATGTAATTAACATCTCGTATCAGCTGATTTTGAGTTTGTGAAAGGAATATTGTTCTGGGTAGGTCTGACTCAATCAGATGAGCCATTAGAACAGGCTTTAAAATTCATAGATGGAAATCAGAAATGCTCTCTATTGCTGCTGTAAAGAAGTAAGCTACCATTTTTAGTCCTATAGCTATGTTTCTGGCAATTTGAGCCATTTGAGCCTGGAAGAGGACCTCAGAGCAGATCTCAACCGTGACTGTCATCTTAATTGCAGCCCTTGCAGATTTAAGCTGTGCTCAGACTCCTTACCTACATATATACTAAATAACAAATTTGTTGTTTTAAACTGTTATATGTATGCAAACAAGTTACACAGCAATAGATTATCAATATAATAGGGTGACTGTTGATACTGGTGCATGTCCACACTAAAAAGCAGAATCACACAATTATTCCAAAACTCACAGTGAAAATAAACAATTAGGAATATACATCAGGGTGTGCTTTTATGATGATCTTTTCAACATTAAACATGAAGTTTATGATTCCAAATCCCTAGTTATGAACTCTAGTTATGAAGTCTATTTTTTAAAATTGACACGTGACTTTTGTGAAAAATTTCCATTTAGAATTGGTCTCTTCACAATCAGACAACATGTAAGAATTGATCTAACATAACACTGCCTCATAGATACAAAGAGTAAAGTAGTGATGACCCTCAGTTTGGTTTCTAGGGGCTTTAGCAGGTTACAATTTAGGAGTATAGGTCTATTTCATTTTGAAGTAATGAAAATGTACTATAATTGATTTGGATGATGGCTACACAACTACGATATTACAAAAAGATATTGAACTGTACATTTTAAATGGATGAATTGGTTGGTGTGTAAATTATGTCTCAGTAAAGTTATCTTAAAACAAAAACAAAGAGAGAGAGAAAAAAATAAAAAAGTACAATATCTAGATTTTTCTTGAACTGAAACATAAGCAAAAATAAAACTGCAATTGGGGGTTAATCTACTAGAGAAGATACCAAAATTCTACCATCCTCAACTTTCCAGTTGGTAAGGCACAGATGCTTAGTATTGCTGTTGTGTTTCCTTTCCCTTCCCCTCTCCCTGATCCTGACCTTTCTTTCCTTTTATAGCAGAGAGCAAGCAAGAAACCAGGGAGTTTTTAAACAGCAATAGATAAACGGCATTTGCTACTGGGGAGGTGCGCTGGCCTGTGTGTTCCGAGGTGCTATTTCTCATCCTAAATTTGTCACTTCCCACCCATGTAATTTCCTTTTCTTCATCTGTAAACAGGTTATTTAAGAAGGCCTTCAAAGGTCTTTTAAACCTTAAAAATTATTTAACTACTAATTTCATGTTTACAATGATAATATGATAACTTACATTAATAAATACCTTTCATTTCCCATTTCTTATTTTCACTCATATAACCTGATTCCATCGAAAAATTTTAGGCAATATTTTTTTGTTGTTAGTTTGGCTTAAGTTTTCTCCTGTTTTTCTCTTTCATTTTTATAAATATTCCTGCACAGAAATATCCTTCCATCATCTTGCTAAAGGAAGGGTCATTCAGTTTTGAAAGAATCAGCAAATACCATCTACTATGAAGAAAATTATCAGGTCCAGCATATTATCACATGCCTGTAATCCCAGCAATTTGGGGAAATAGGAAGGAATACAAGTTCTAGGACAGACATGAAGGTGGTATTTCCTCCTCAGATCTTCTTCTGCTATCCCACTGCCCACAGCCCCAACTAGATCTCCTCATGCTCCCTTCTGAATCTCATCATAATAATTTTCCTTTTGCTTTCCTCTTCTTGATTCTTTTAATTAATTATTTCATTCTTCCTTGGTTTCTTATCTATTCTTTCTTCCTTCCTACTTTTTTGGTTCCTTTGAATATGTCTGAAATGTCTGAAATTAAGCAATTATTTCAGGGTCTAGGGTCTATCTCTATCACATAATTTTAATTGCATGGTCCTTAGAAGGCACATTCAGTAGAAGAAGAAAGAGAAAGAAGATGAGGAGGAGGAAAAAAGAAAAAATATCCTTATTATTTTAGAAAATTGAATTGAAATGACACAATTCAAAATTTCCTTGAAGTTGAGAGTAAGATGGTGGTTACCAGAGTCTGGGAAGAATGGGGCAGTGGTAGGGAAAGCTTTGTCAATGAGTACTCAAGTTAAACAGGAGCCAAAGATTCTGGTGTGCTCCT